ATATTTGCAACCAGACAAAGAACAACTCCATCCGAAATGCTGACGCAAAACTCGCGCATCTCTTGAGTCGAGTCGATCGCGACTCCGTCGGCTTCCGCCTCTTGCTGCCTAGCGTACCAAGCAAGGCTTGCTATTCTTTCGCGGTCTTCGCCCATAGCATCAGTGGAGAGCCGGCCTAGCTCACCAACGAGGAAAGCTCTTGCACCCCGCACCAACTCCAGAGCTTCCACAGTACTGCTTCGCCGCGTCGAGAGCACCGAGCTAGATTCTGCATCTGTAGAGAGATTAGATGATGGAGAATACTTTCCCAGGACTGGAAATCCTTCTGAGCTGGTCGACGCGATCACTGGCGAGGGCGCAGGTGACGCGGTGGGACTATTGATGTCCGTTGAGGTCTTCGACGCTGTGCTCCACCTCCGTGGTCGGTTAAACCAGGTCCGTGGGTGTCGGAAAGATGGCTCTTGAAGGCCTGCGCTAGAGCGTCGCTTCTCCTCACGACGCGATGGAGTGGTTTGGGGAGAATTTGCAGCCGTGTTGCTTCTGGAACCAAACTCGTCCGGGTGTGGCGAGGCTTGCACCGTGGCCGAGGAGCTACAACTACCATGCAACGAGCTCTGCGTGCCGGCATGTGGCTGCTTTCGCACCGTAGCAGTGCTGTGTTTGCGCTCACGAGGGCTCAGCTGACTGTCAACTACAGAGCCAATGCTGGGCAGAGGCCCATTTAGCATTCTGGCAGTCGTATGCGGTGGAACACCGTCGAGTGCATCGAGCGGACGTTTATCGCCTGTGGTGGCAGCAGGCCACGCGAAGCCCTGGAACGCGTCGCGGGGTGTCTGAATGACGCGAAGTCCTTCATCTAGAAGTGGGTCTGAGGACAGGTGAAGCTCCGGTGTGCTCAAGGACGCCGCGAGCAGGTTCGAGTAAGCTTGTGAGGCAGGGGTGACGTGCGAAGGATGCTGCGCAGGAGACGACGGGCGTAAATGGCTACGTGAGGGTCGCACCGGAGTGATGGCATTGTCCGCAACCCGTCGCCATTGCTCGTGCGAGTCCAGGCTCGAATCGGCGGAGTGAGTGTTGGGCTTGCTCGCCGTCGTCTTTTGAAACTTTCGAGTCTCAGCAATCCTCGTCGACTGTCGACGGGGCAATCGACCATAGTCTGAAGGCCCTGCCATTTGCTCCTCTGTCCGCGTGCGTGACAGCGACGACCTCCTGGCCGCGAGAGGCGTATTGGGCGTGGAGATACGGGAGGTCCGACCTGATTTCAGCGCAGCGTCGGGCGCCTGAGGGTCTGTCATTGACGGTGGAGCGCACACTTCCTTTGCTGGATTGTATGAATCCAGCTGGAGAGGCTGCATCATTGCAGCAGCAGCGGCCATGACGAGAGAGCTTGCAGGCTGATGCCTTCTCCTGCCGCTAAGGCGAGCAATTCGTCTTGTTCTCGCAGGGATGCGACGCTGTTTGCCGCGGAGGCCAGCTTCCGGGCGACGGTCGTCGGCAAAGTGCGATGATGGGGTCAAGTTCCCTCGATCCGCTCACTGATGACGAGGAGTCTGAGGCGCGGGTGGATGCGTAAGTCGGCGCGCCATGAGGGGGAAGGCCGGACGCGTGCAGGCGGGCTCCGAGTGCGCGCGAATTAGCAGACGGGAGTCCAAGGAGGAGTGTTTT